TAAATGGTGGCTTCAACTTTGTTTTTTTAAGAAAAATGTGTTTTATATTTGCTTCTGTTTTCAAATATTTTTGTTGCATATTTAACTATATATCATGTAAATAAATTACTTTTAAAGATATGTAAACTTAATCCTTGCTTTTTTACGGATTTTCACAAAGTGAACAAAGGTTTAAATATATTTTTTAAGTGTCTTATATGATTTTATCAATCTTATTTTTGCTGAATAATTACTTCAAAAATATTGAGTAAAATCCAATTGCTTTTATTATTGACCTGATCTATACAAAAATTAATGAAATAAGGCTAATAATTTAACGCCAAGTTAAGGCAAAATGTATTCCGGACATTTTATAAAATTAGTATAAATATGGATTGGATGTATGCTGAAATAAATATGTTGATACACATTTTCCGGATATATAATTTCTATGCCTTCAAGTTTGGGTGTAATATTTTAGATGTTTTAAAAATATTTAAAAAGTATATTAATAACACTAAAACGTTTAGGTGTGTTTAGGTAAATGATTACAACTATGACTTAGTGTAAAATTATCACAAATTTCTATGACATGCAGGACGCGAATACAAGTTTGTCTAATCGAGTAAGAGTATTTCTTCCCTACAAACAATCCCATTTCTCTGGACAATTAGCTATTCTTATTTGTAAAAGACCATATATTATTCTGCCTCGATGTCAAGTAGAAAACAAAAAAACACGTCGCTTTAACGTTGAATAGTCAACGTTAGTTTTTCAACTATAAATCAACGTAAAAAATTCCGACTTTCAACTCTCTAAATCACTTAGACGTTGAAACGACGTCGTACTGTTTAACGTTATTTTATCAACCGTAAATCGACGTGAAATCGACATTGAAAGTTCCGACGTTAAATCTTTTTGGGTACTGGGTACTTACGTCTTTTGAGGCTTTTTTTGTAATCTTTTAATATAAGCGACGTGAGGTTTAATATTTATGAATGGTTACCACGAGTATTCTTAAAAATAGTATTATACCAGGAGGCATATTTTTTAAACGGCAAAAGAATTAACAGCTGTGTATCCTTTCCCCATTTCACGAAAAGGTAACACAGTCCTTAGGTTAATTTCTTTCAATTTTTACCTTTGATTACTTCCTTTTTTTATTCTAATTTGGATTCGAAGTGAAAAAAACTCATTGTTCAGGTACAATCTTGATCAGAAAATAGGAATGTATAATAAAGACTGTTATTAGTTTTATTCTGGAAAATTACATCTGGAAATCTTCTAATTATTTTCAAATAACTTAAAAACACATTTAAAATCATAATTATACTACACCCTTTTTTTATATTATCAATGATTTCTACATCTAAAAAAGACAAGTTTATTTTTTTTTTTAAATGCCTATCCACTAACATTACTTAGTGGATGTGCAGACAAAACAGATTTTTGTAAAGCATTTGAGTTACTTGTAGAATCTTTTTCTAATTTATGAATTTTTTTCTTTCTTTTTTCTTGCTTTAGCTTTTTTTTAAACTTATTCATAAGATTGTAACTCAAAAACATACCTCAATCAAAGAAACTTTTAATAAATGATATTTACTTATATCTTACAAAAACGAGTATGAGGTTTCAATTAATGAATATTAAATCAAAAACTAAACATTTAAAGGATCTTTTTGTCTTAAGCACACAAAAACATTTTTAGCCTGATTTTGTCTAAAGCACATGAAAAAAGCACTTAAATAGGAATTATATTTGTCTAGGTTTTGCAAGAAACATGTCTCTAAAAGCCGTTGCTTAGTTTTTTGAATTTGTTTTTATTATTATAAGAGAAGACATGATAAATTATTTAAATTTTATAAAATTGAAATTTTGAAAAAAATATTATTTTTATTAACAATTTTTATCTCAAGCCTTTTTTACAGATAAAAAAAATGTCTAAGAAATTTTTCATAAGCAATGATTGCCTCACTTGTTTGCTGTATTAGATCGCAATCAACATAAAATTTTAAAAAATTTTTCAACTGTCACAGCCAACATTGACACACGGGTATCATACGGGTCCTATACGGGTTGTAAATTGGGTCCCAAACAAACGATATCCGGCCGGATCATGGCTGCATTTTTATATGTGGCCATATAGGTGCGTCATCCGGATATCCCTTATGGGTATTAGCCAAGGCATTTACTTTAAAACCGTAAAGGATCCGTTTTGGGACTCTAACTGAAACACATATAAAAATCCCATTGGGAACCCGTTGGATCTTGGCTGCAATTTTTCTAAAAAGTCCGAAATAGCACGTCCTCAACATCGCTTTAAATAAGTAGATTGTTAAATAAGTAGAGAATCAAATGTGCGCAAGTGTCACGCATGTGCAGATGTGGCGTAAAGCTTCCGTTAGTTAGTTGAAACCTATCGTTAAATAAATAGCCTTGTTTCTGTTAAGTATAGACTAGAAATGCCTAAATCTCAGAAACTTTGTTTTATAATTAAAGTTAATGTTATATAATTAAAATGCCAGTTTACAATTACTCTGTTAAAGATATTTATCAGTATGTCTCTGATAAAACAATAAATTATTATAACAAAAAAATGTCATCTTTGTGGGTAATGTATATATAACCCACTTTTTAGGTTTAACTTTCATATATTTTATGAATAAAAATTTGTTTTCATTATATATTTTATATGATTGTAAGTTTCTGAAGTTAATTTTATGCTATGCCTCAGCATCTCAAAACCCACAGTTTTTTTAAGACTTTCATTTTATGCATAGACTTGTTTGTCAATTTTACTAAAAGCTATTAGTCAGTTTTGTTACATATTTAAGTGTTGTAATTAAAAATTACAAACAAAAATCTAATATTAAATAAATTTTTTGTTAAGTTTATTTGTTTATCTTTGTTGTATCTTAATTATGGATTTTAACCAAATTTTCCTAAAGTAATCCAAGATACTTTAAAAAAAGTTTTTTGTAGCTATAGCTACTAATTTTATAATTTTATACTAAAACAAATTAATTAGTATATTGGGGTTATCATATCAGTTTCGTCAGTTTAAATAAATACAGACAAATCCTTGGTCTTATTACAAGGTCAAGGCCAAGGACTAACAACTCTGGTCTAAAGAAACTTCTATGTAGAAAAAAGTTTAAGTTATTTTTATAAAAAAACTAAACAAATTTTGTTATAGGATAGGGTAAAAAATTAATAACAATTCAGTTTTTTTACTTTCAAATTGTATTTTCAACAGTTCAAATAAAAGCTTTTTTTTTTTTTTTTGCCGCATGCTTTCTTCGTGAACAGCTGTTGTAGCGTTAAAAAAGTTAGCCGTTAAAAAAGTTTACAAAATAGACAAATCCAAAGCCATAAACTTGGTCATTAAAATTTCTGGCCCTAGGTACACGATATTTCTCTTGATCTTATTGGACCTCTTGCCTTTACAAAGCTTCTGACTGGCTTAATGACACTTCGATTGATGTAGCACAAAGTTTGCTTTTTTATCAGTTTCCTAAAATATCTGGATTACAAAGTTTAAAAAATTGGGTTGTGTGCATTTCAAGATTTTTTAGAAAGTAAAAGTTTTATGCAAGTGATGTTAAAAAATAATATAAGGTGCTTCTACGATGTTCTTCTGTGATGAAGTTGTTTCACATTCAATGTAGTTTCACATGCGAAGTGCATTCAGCTTTATGATATATTCTTTAACAGTTTAAGTAAAGATAATGCACCACTGTTAGTGCATAGAGCTGCACATAAAAATGATTGCAATGTTTTTGTAATAAGAAATGTAACAGCTTTGTGTAGCCGGATCAACCCAAATTTAATTATTTAAAAAAATTTATATATGAGACAACATTACCTAAAACGTACTGCGAATGGTAATTTAATGATGTTTCCTTTTGTTACTGTGTTAGAGGTGTGCCATTAATACTATCATTATTGTGAATGTACCCTGTTATTTCTACTACTTTTTTGTTTTTATTGTTTTTAATACTTACAACAACAACAACAACAACAACAACAACAACAACATGCTTTTAATTTTGTAATACTTACAACAACAGCAAAAACAACAACAAGCTATTTATTTTCCGTAAATCAATTTACAATAGTTTTGATAACAATGATAATAGTAACAATAGCAAAAATATATAATAATAACATAAGATAAAAAAAATTATTATACAAATTATAGCAATAGTAATAAATATGTTTACAATAATTACAATGAAAAAATAATAATAATAACTAATAATAATATAGTGATAAATTAATGCCTTATTAGGATAGTGTCACTCATACAGAATTCTGATCAAAGGAGTTACACCGATTTTTAATATAATATTCGTAATAATAAGCAAAGACTTACACTGTACACGGTAATTTAAACATCGGATTTTATTGTGAGCATGCGCAATAAATAAGCTTATCAAAATATAAATAAAAAATAGCGGAGCAGTTTTCCGTAATAATTTTAAACTTTAGTGGTTGCTTTCTATTCTAAATATGTATTTCGTCATCGCAATAAAAAAAAGTAAAAAAATTTTTTAATTATATAATTGATAAGCTCTTTGTTAAGTTAAAAAAAAGTAAAAAATTAAGTCGTAATGAATTTTTTTTTAGGTAAAAAAAATACAGCATCACCACAACTGTTTAAAGTATATCTTGCGACTAAAATATTTAGGATAAAAAGTAAAACATATACTTAATCGAGATACTCTAAGGAAAAATTATAAGTTATTCATTTTCACCAGTCATTTATTTATTAAATTGAGATTATATAACTTAAACTTATTTTTTTTTTTTTTTTAATAAAAAAGAATTATTTAATCTTAATTTATTTATGCTTGAGAGCTTAAAATAAAAAGGTCTTAAAATAAAAGTTAAAATAGGATTTTGGTTTTCATTTTTAAAATTTATAATAAATTTTGGATAATAACTAAATTCCAAAATTTTTTTGCAAAAAAACTTTGTAAAAAATTTTATCAATTCTTTTTTCTTTTTTTTAAGTTAGGTTTTATATCTTTTTCTTTCGGGTGATTTCAAATAAAATGTTCTTTTATAGTGCTTTCAGGCCGACTACAACCCTTTATGTCCCAGAATAATCAATTGAGATTTTTGAAATCAGCGTGTAAATTTTCACCACCTTGTTCACTATAAACACCAATTCCTAATCGCCATTTTTCAATAAGCTTATATATATGATTTTCTAGTAAATGCATTTTTGGTGTTACAGATGAATCCGGCCATGTGAATCTATAAAGTTCCATGAGTTCTTTTATTGCTAAATCTAAAAAAAGACAAGGTTTTCTATTATATAATACACAAAAAAAAAAAAAAAGTTATTCAAATATATCATACTAGCAGTAAGCAACCCGTAATACGCCTTGTTAGTAGAAATTGAAAAAAAAAACCGCGTAGAGAAAAGCCTAGAATCTACTTTAAAATAGAAAAGCCTAGAAAATGACGTAACTCGACTAATATTAATAATAATATTAAATTAGCGTATTCATATTATCAGATTGTAAAAATAACAAGATGTAGTTTAGGTTTTATAATTTACATTTAGAAGTAAAATCGAAAATCTTAGTTAAATATTTACCGTTTATCACTGTCTTCGAAATAGTGTGAACTGTTCTTAATATTATGACATTTCGAATAATATGAAAATAACTTTTTAAATTTCTGGCTCACATTGATAGATAGTAAGTGAGCACCAGTATTTATTAATCTAAGTTCTACAACAAGCTTAGGAATCGAATTGCACAAGTCAAGCAATGGTTGATGTTATAAATAATTAAAAATATCAAAACAAGTGAAATGAAATGATAAATCCAGACATTATAAAAATTGCGCTTGAAATGTATTTATTACACATAATAAACATTTTTATTATATATATTAAAACCCATTGTTGTATATACAAACAACACTTAACTACCTTAAACATTTTATGAACATGGTTTCCAACAAAACATTTTCCATGATACGCTTGCCTTTCAACTTTATTTTCTTTCAATATTTCATCAAGTTTTTGAATACATGGTCACATGACACTTTGTGTAGTTCGTTACATTCGTGTAAACTTTGTAGTTCTATAGACTAAATATTTGCATTTAAAATAAATTAGCTAAACAAAAATTAAATAAATCTTAATCATATATTTGTATAATGTAAAAAAATGATTAATAACTTATAAACCAAAATCTTCATTAAATGTATTTAATGAATCTGACATCTTTTTTAAATTTCATCATCCTTGTTTGTACAAAGTTTTACAGCAAGTTTTATGTATAAACTTTGGTTATGAGTAAATTAAATGCTTTATATTTTTATTGCAAAACGATACCTTTTAACTTTTTTTCAATTCATAATAAAGTATTCTTGGTTTATATAGTTTCAAAATATCTTCTGCTCTTTCCGGCTCACGCCGGAAAGAGCAGAAGATATTTTGAAACTTAAATTCCATCTGTGTCTTGCAGTTGAGCAATTTTTTCAAGACAATCTGTAATAACACTATTCAAAAGACTTGATTGGACATGCATGGAAATAAACTTGTCAAATTCTGCTTTACCAATAGTTTTATTTTTTAATGCAAGTTCTCCAGCAAGTTGTATATCAATTAAATGGTACTCATCTTCTAACATAATGAAAAATTTCAAGTAGATACCCATAGATATATTTAATGTAGGCACTGCAACCTGTTATAGTTAATAAAAACAATTGTGATAACTTTATAAATATAACAGCATTATTTGAATAAAAAGAGGTAATTTACTTGATCTAGAGGAATATTAAACAAAGGTTTATCAATAACATTGTTGAAATGCTTTGCATTCTTTAAAATTCCTCCAAATCTCTTAAAATATTCAAAGTTATCTCTTAAAAAATTAATTGTTCTAGGTGAAACATTATGTTTTCGATTTTTAGGAGTAATTTTGATATCCTCTTTTGTTTTGTCACAAAAGAGGCAGTAGTGCCGATCTGTAAAATAATAATAAAAAGGAATAAATAATGTGCTGTTTGACTTTTTCTAAAAAATAGTTATGTAGCAGAAATCGATTAGATAGGAATTTTTTTTTTAATTTCATAGCAAAAAAAACTTACCACTAGCTCATGTGATTCCATATACACTGCACAAAAAATTTTAATCTCTAAACATAAAAACACGACAATGGTGATTTCTAAACAAGTTATGATAATCTAAACTTTTTATCTAAGACCTTACAGAAAATAAATATTTTTCAGTTTTGCTAGAGTAATAACATCCTAAAACTAATTAGAATGTACCCATCCAAACATGTGTAAAATTTTAAGAAAGAAGTAATTTTAATTCTTCAGAAAAATTATATTTTATTGTTTAGAAGAAATATTAACAGTTACTGTCATGACATACTTTCAAAAATTATATTTAATTGTTTAGAAGAAATATTATACCATTTTTTGCATTTCATCAACTTGTATTTTATATTATTTTTATATACAATATATTATATTATTTATAACTTTTATTTTTCTAGTGATTTAGAAATCTAAAATAAAGGTATTAATTTTCCAGAAGGTTTAATAGGTTTTTTATGTTTTGCGGTAGGTCGTTCATATATGCCCAAGGAGCTAGTTTAATTTCAAAAACAGCATTATTACTGTTATTTTGAAATGCGAATGTGCCATCTAAAACAACTAAATCATTTCCAGCCCATTCCTTTGCAATAACTCTTTGTTTGTTGTTTGAAGCAGTAATAATATTTTTCGAATTCAACCACTTACAATATTACATATAAACAATAAGTATTATTATATAAATAATCAATTATAAATAACTTTAAAATTGAAAAATTGAAACTGCAGTATTTTCAGTTTCAAGTTTTAATTTTACACAGCCATAGTTTTTAATTTATTCCAAGGAATACCCATATCAGCTTTTAAATCAACCATTTCCTCTGCATTTAAGTTAACTGTTCCAATATTGACTTTTCTTTTTAATTTTATTTGCTTCATCATTATCATATGACTTTAACATTACAGCGGTTTGACATACTTAAGAATCCTGCGAACTATCAGCTGTATTGGTAAATTGCTCCAATAATAAATTTTAATAAGCTTTGGGAGCAGAAACAAAACAGAGTGGCTGTAAATTAAACAAAATATTACTTCAAATAACAAATATAAAATTTTATTCAATTTTCTATATATCATATTTAAAATAATGAAAAAAAAATTAGACTGATTTCAATTCTAATAATTATAAATAATGTAATAGATAAAAGTGTAATAAAAAAGTAAATAAATTTTAAGTTGCTAAAAAATTAAAACATACTTTTTTCCCTAGGCCCACCTGATGAAAATTCTATTTGCGATGTTTTGGATTGATTCAACTTTTTTTTTATAATATGTAAAACAGCATTATTGACCTCTCGCGTGATTTCACTTGTGTCAGTGATTTGGTAAAAACTGTTTATACTAATTAATTGGTTGCTTTCATTTATGCTGTTATTTGATATTTTTCTGCAATCATGACTTTCACAATTTACGCCTTTAACAAATACTTTTTTGTCACATATCTTGCAAATAATAGTTAAATATTTTATAATTTCAGATAAATGGACAGAATAAGAAAGGCTTTCGATTGTGATGTTTGTTTTAATAATGGTCAATAAAAATCGGTTTCTAATTTATCGATCAATTTTACTTTCAGTTTTTAAACTGTGTTTTACTAAAAGGTTTCCACATATTCTACATATATTCCATTTAATTTTTGTTGGTGATTATCGCCATATTTTACGGAGTTATTTTTATAAAAACTATCCTATTCAAAAGCACTATACTTTTTTATAAAAAAATGACTGGTAAAAGAGACAGTGTATTTTAAAAAGATAAAAAGGAGGAATATTATTAAAAACTTACCAAAATCGTACAAAAATTTTACTTCTTCTATAATATAAATGTATACAATGTGTTATTTTAGCTAAGAACACAGCTTGTTAATCACATTGAAGCTTACTACTTCAAAATCTATTAAATCTTATACTTAACCAAGTTAATTTATGACCGGTTTCGCTTAATTTCACAAAATATAGTTAACCAAGAACAAAAAAAAAAACAACAAGGAAAACAAGCAAATTGGTAAGCATTGTTTAATGAAAGCTTAATACGGTTAATCAAAATAATAATTTTTTTGTTTCTCTAACTATCTAATATTTGTCTTAAGCTACATAATTAGCTAATTTAGGTCAACTATTGTTTTTCTTTATTTCATTAATGGCATGATGATTTGTTTTGCCTACTTTGTAGTTGTTTATTTTTTACTGTCATCAGTTATTCGTTTAATCAACCAGGGTTATCGATATAATTTATTTAATAATACTGAACTCATTGTTAGCCTATTTGACTCAGATCTCTTGGCAGCCATTGCAACCGAGGAAATGGCGATAAAGATTAGCAGCAACTTTGTTTTATAAAAAAAATCGTGAACGAAGATGTATCTTTAGACGAAGGTGTATCTTTGAATGAAACTGTATGTTTAGTGTATTTTTATTATTAATGTAATATCAAGTTTTACAGTTTTACTTACATTGCAACAGTATCTTTTTAATTTTGATCTATAGAATTAATTTCCGTTTTATAAAGCCTTTTGTTTTTAAAATAATTTTAAACTTTCCTAAAGTATGAATCAATATTCTATCGTCGGAACCCTTTCTTTTATTATATCTTTTATTGATTTTATAAAAATACATAATAAAACACATTTAAAAGAGGATTATGAAATTGTTTTGTTTTGCATTTTAAAAATTAAAAATAACTTTAAAAAAAAAGATTGCCACGCGGCGAACTAAACTTTTTTGAGCACAGTAAGAGAGTTTAAATAAAATGTTTTTTATTAAAAACATGATCCAAAATTTTTTTAAATAAATCATTTATATCAACTTAATTATTATTTTAAAAAAAATATAAAGTTACAATTACTTAATATTTAGGCCGGTGAATAAAAATGAGCAAGTGCTTTTACTCAATAGTTAGTCAACTTTACATAAATAAAAACTTCAGCAGTTCGCTCAAATTTTAATTCATGTAAAGTTAAGCAATTTGCTAATTAATTGTTCAGCTTTACGTGAATAAAAACTTGAGCAAAACTATTCAAGTTTTTGTTCACGTATAGTTATTCAATTATCGAGTAAAAGCTATAGCTCAATTTTATTCACGCGGCCTAATAGGATGATAAAGTAATTTAAAGTTTCATAGCTATTTTACAACTTCTCTGTTAAACATTCAAAACTGAGTGCTCAACAATGACGGAATTAAAATTATAAGAGTAATATTGGAAAAGTTAACTCAAACCGCTATTAACTGAAAATGCACGAGACATTGTATATTAGGGTGTACAAAAACGAATTTTTTTTCCCCGTAAGGATACCTCTCAACGTTTTCTCATTCTTTGAAGTCCTTCTGAGGCTAAAAATCAAAAGAAAAAAAAAATTATTTGAAAATAAATGTCCGTTACATCAATCTTGAATTAATATATAAAGAATTTTTTTTTTTTTTCTTTAATAAAATTAATAACGATGTCTAGGTTGAACAAAATTATGATTAATCTGATACATTTGTTTTTATAAGCATATTTTTGAAATATAATTATTCAAAATGTTAAATAAGGAGTTTCCAAAATATACTTAAGCTTACGAAAACATGCGTTTTTTTGTAAGAAATTCAAAAGATACTTTTGAGATTTCCTACCCATCACATGTTTTTTATAAAAATCCTCTAATTCTAACAAAGGAAAAAACAATCAATTAATCAGTAAAAAACAACCCCTTGCAACAAAAAAATTAAAAGGATAAATTTAATTATTCTTTTTTAATAAAATGTTTTTTTGATTTTTTAGATGATTAAATTTAATTTTTTTATTTTTTTATTTTTTTTTTTTTATATTCTTTATTACAATATTTAATACAATATTTACAAATATATAATAAGAAAAATTTACATGCAAAAAAATCGTTACAAAAAAATAAAGAATTAAGATAAAGAACGCGGATACTCAAGACCATACAAGTCTTGTCACCGAGAACCGCTGTTGAAGAATTTTGAACTTAGTTTAGATTTTAGGAAAAACAAAAATAAATAAACACAAGTTTTTAACTTTTTTAAGTTATTGTCTTTATAGCTGGAATTAAAATACTAATTCTTCTGAACCGGATGATTCAAGCGAAAACAATAATATCATAGTATTCTTAATAAATAAATACGTCTCGCATCTGACTCGATCACTGATTCTTGTTACTCAAATCTATCTTACAGTTACACTGATCTTAATTGTTATTTAATTAATAAATAAACGAAAATAATAAGAATATGATTGCACTAGGTACATCCAAATGCACTTCAAGATTGTCCAAAAGATTGTGTAGAAGAATTTAGATGCCAAAGCCAAATG